TGTTTGCTGGCGGGGCCCGCAGCCAGTGGCACAGGGAGAGCAGCCCAGGGACCCCCGCACGGGCAATGTCTGCCCTGCATGGCCTGCCTGGGGCCAGGGAGCTGGTGGCACCACTGCCTGCACAGCTGCTTGCACCGCTGCCTGCGGCTTGCCCAGGGCATCTTCCTCCCAAAAGCAGGAGACCAATGGAGCTACAGGATAGCACAGCCCCACAGTGTCTGCACTGCCTCACACCCCTATAGATCCACCTATAGCAGGTTAGCATCTCACTCCATGCAGCATGTCGGGCTTCACAGGACAGAATGGAAAAGGAGAAAGAGAAAAGGAGACCCTCACCCTCACCCAAGCCATGGCATGGCATGCCAGGGCACAGAGCCTGCCACCTCCACGTTAATCATATCATTTTCTATCACATTTTATAGGCATCGCCCCGGCTGTTTCCCACACATGATGACAGACCAACACAACCCCGGGACAGCGCGCGGTGCTCGTGCACAGCAGCCCAGGGACGGGCTCCCACGCCGCCCTGATTTATTCTCCCATCGATCCGGGCCGAGCCGCAACGTGCCTGAATTCAGCCGCGCCTGAAGCGTGAAAGGCAGAGCACGGGCAGGGCTGCTGCCAAGACTGAAAGCCATTAGCGCGAGGTGGCTCCTGGCAGCCTGCCCGCTCCTGCCTGCACAGGGCCCTCAGCTTTCTGCCAGCCCAGGAATGCTGGACGCGCCACCACAGCCCTGCTCCAGCCAGGAAGTGATGGAGTTTCTGGGTCCTTACCTCCCTGGCACCGTGATACCCCAGTAAGGCATCTGCTTCAGCCCCACAGTGCAGTGCCAGCGCACCCTGATGCCATGGCAGTTGCCCAGGGCTCACACGAGCATACCTGGGGGGACAACTCGGTGCTGGCACAGCCAGCCCTGATCGCACCCGCTGAAAGAGCAATGCCAAAGTGTAGGACTGTCCTAAGAGGCTGGAGCTGGATGTTCCTTGAGTGTGCCATGGTCTTCCCTCGCCCTGCAGAGGCAGAACTGACCACACAATCCAGATGTGGACCAACAGCAGCTCTGCACTCAATCCGTTCATCTCCAGGAAAAAAACAGGACAGTTGCTTCCCTGGCTAGAGCCTGCAGAGATGCTGGGTGCTTGCTGCCTTCCAAAATCAGCTTCCAGATATCCATCTGCTGGCATTAACTGCCTGATGGCAGGACAGATCTTTGTGGTATTTTGGAAACTGAGGCACCAAGCCCCTCGCTCCTGATGTAAGCAGACAGCCTGGGGACAGCCCCGTGGCTCCCAGCTTCCACATCCGTACCTCCCACAACAAAGCAAACCTCTTTCCATGCCCTATTCCAGCTCCATCCAAAGTTGAGATACAGGCTGACCTGAGGGTCTGGAAACACCCAGCATCTCGCAGCGAATGTACACCAAGAAATACCTCAGATGTCCCCGGGTAGCTGGCACCAGGGCAACCCCGGCCCCACACGGATCGGTTATCCCAATCTCCTGCACAATAGAGTGGCTGACGGCTGCCGAGCAGAAAATCGGTGGTGGAGCACAACTGATTGGATTTAACCTGTCACTGGTGCCTCCAAGAGCCCACTAACCCCCTTCCCACTCCCCAAGAGCCGATAACGGGACTCATGAGGGATATTAGTAGATGTAAAACTGCTGGAGATTAAAATAAATAGAGAGAAGCAAAAAGATCAAAAGGGAGAGGGTTTTTCAGGGGGGTCATCAAAGGGAGAAAGAAAAGCACTTCCCACATGGCTGAAGTGGTCCAGGTTTTAAGAGCTGTTGGCAGTGACTGAGGCTCCAGGAGCTGCTGGAGCTGGGACACGTCCTGAGGGCACCTTCCTTGGGGGCCTGAGACATCACACCCAAGACACTGGCCAGGCCAGACCCAGCCCAGATCCAAAGGCAATGTCTCATCACCGTGCTCCCCGGCCACCGCATC